TAGCTGTCTACTATTGACCTCACCCCTTTCCTAAGAGGTCTGTAAGGGGTGTGCATAAGCGCACCAATGTGCCTACCGTCCCTGTCCTATTGATTCTTTTCTTTTTTATTTTTCTTATATGTATCCATGTATTCATAACTATGTTTTTACTTATACCTATTATCTTGTAAGCAATTGACAAAAATAAATAAATAAATAAATAAATAAAAATGTTTGGCAAGGCAGAGTGAAGAAGGGGAAGATAACACGTATCTGGATGGCCATATCAGGGATTATGGTCCTTGGCCAATTGAGATGGCTTTTGTCCATATAATCGCCATCCAGAAGCCAAGCCCAATTGGTTAATATTAGCTAACCAAACACAAAGACAAAAGTTACACAATGGATAAACCTCTGGGACATGCACATTTTCCAGTGAGAAAAATGCTCAACTTCTGGAAATCCTTTCTATGCTATATTCAGGTACTTCCGTACAGGAGGTTTGCAGCAGTCCCAGACCTCTCTAATCTCATGATTTGAGCACAATTCAGGAGCTGTCAGCTTATTTCTGGTTCCATGATTTGAAACTGGGGCAGTGCCTGTTTGGGAACTCTGTCCTCATGGTCATGATGAGACAAATGTGCTACATGTGGGTGCTGCAATTCATTTTACTTTGCCTTTGTACAAATTGGAAACGAGAAAATTGCCTTGGATCTGCAGTAGCTGTGGGTTGGACACTGATTGGATGACATTTTCTAGCACTCCTATTGGTCAGCTGGAGGGGAGAATTGATTGGCTCATGGTGTTCCTTGTTTCCAAGTCTGTAGAAGTGGAGATGATTACAAATCGGAATAACAAATAACAGAGTTGGAAAAGGGGCATTGGGGGTCTTCAGTGAAGTCCACCCCCCTGCCCAAGCAGAGGCCCTGCATCATCCCAGACAAATGGTTGTCCATCTCTGCTTAAAACCTTCCAGTGATAGAGCATCCACAACTCCTGGCGGCAGGTCCGTCCTATTTCTCCCCACAGCCTTGGGAACAGTCAGGCAAGGGCCAGCGTCGGTCTTCACCTGCCCCAAAGCTCCCCACTTCCCTCTGAATCCTCCTCTTGGGAATCGTCCTGAGTTGGCCTTCCAAGTCTGCCGAGAAAGGAAAATGCCACCAAGGAAGTGTGGCATTTGGAGAAAATAAATGTCCCAGAGACTTTGGCGCTTAAAAGTGGCAAATCGGGTTGCCCGAGATGTCTTTGTGGGTCGACCCAAAGTTCTTTCTGATGGTTTTTGCTTTAAGGCAACCTTTGCTTGATTATAATCCAAATCACTCAAAACACTGGAGGAAAATTCCCATTTTCTTTTTGATCGCACTCACTAAGTGGTTGCAAAAGCCTCACTAAGTATTTGGCCTCGTGGAAAGCAGATAAACTTCCTCCCAAAAAATGAAGATAATGATTCAGATTGTGATCAGTCCTTATAATAAATATAGTTCGTCTATATAGACAACTAGACTGGGGAAGCCCCTGGGTGCCTGAATGAGTTTCTTAAAGAATTTGACTCAATCAGCCAGTCATAAGCCCGGTAGGGGCTCAGCTGGCCCAGAAGCTACATTTGGGCAGCCACTCCATAGCTCCTTGAGTTGCTCTGGCTGACAGCAGGATGCAAGGGACTGCTGATCTCCCATAAAGCCAGCCAGGCTGCTGCGGGATTGCCTCTCCATCATTTCTGCTCTGTCCCCCGAGGTGGTGGGAGGGCATACTGTGGGTCCCTTCTAGCAAACAATTTGTTGCCATGCTTTCTCTCTGCCTGCCCCTGCCCCACGGACTGTCCGTGTGCTCCTGACCCTGGCATCCTCCCATAAGGCACCAAAGGCCTGGCTGTTCCACTGGTGTTCAGGCCAAGGGCTTACGGGAACCTTGTTGGCTAAATGTTGCTTTTCCAGGTTGGGACTACTGTTTTAAGCTGGGATTTGGGGGGTTGGATTATGAAATTGTTCTGAAATCCACCCGGAGTTGCTGCTGCTCTGGGACTGGCAGCCGTAGAACGATGTTTGTGCAGTGCAGTGGCGCATGGCTGCAGAGGCAAAAGAAGCGCCTCTAATGCACAGACGTTGCCTGGACGTGGCCATATTCTTTGGGGTTGGTGGGCTGGGGTACATTTCATTTGCTCCCCTGACTGCCTGTTTCACATAGTTATTTCTAGGACAAGGGGGAGCATTCTGGACTCTCCTAGTCAAGTTTTCAGATTTATTCATGATATAGATTTTCCATCTTTTTCTGTTTTAAGCCTTGTTTATTTTTGTTGAATGAAGTGGAAAACATTAGCCAAAAAAGCGATTGGCCACTCTGACAGATATATTAAAGATTTGTTCGGTAATCATTAACAGATACTTTTATCACGTTGTTTATTTATTTACTTTTATCACATTGTTTATTTATTTGCTAATCCTATTGTTCATTCATATTTATCACTACATACTATATACGGTACTTATTTGTTTATGTATTTTCAGGAATTTCATTTATTTATATAGCATTTTTCCAGAGTTCTAATTTTTTTTACTGATTTTTGTATCATGGTTTACTAAATATTCAATTTTAGAAAGACTATCAGGAGTTCTTCTCTGTTTAACTATGAGAATTAGGTGGAAAGAAATGGTTTTTTTAAATGTTATTTCATCCTGTAAGCGTGGAATGGCAGAGTGAGAAAACTGAAAGCATCTGAACAGTTCTGGCTCCCTTCCCGGCAGAGGCGTTGGAGAGAACGGCTGGGCCCAGAAAAGTCCTTCCTTTTACAGGCCTTCTGTGATTTCATGGTTCTTCCAGTCCTCCTGCTAATATGCTTCCAATCCCAGAAACCTTCCTGGTTTCTAGACAATTCCTGGATGTTACCATGGTGATACATGACCTAATTAAAGTCACTGGAGTGGTACCCACATTTCCCCATCCAAACAACAAATTCACATTATCTCTCCAACATTCTTCCAGCCTATATAAAGAAGTCACAATCTGGGTCAGTGATAAGAAATGGGAGGCATTTACTACCATCAGCCTGCACACACACACACACACACAAATACACAAACACACACCCTTTTCAAATAGACTAAGGGCAAAGAGGTCGCAACTAGTTTGAGGTTCATTTATCTTGCTTACATAGTTTACTATCAAGATATCAACATCAAGTGTAGTCCCATGGCTCCCCCCAATTTCTATCAGACTGCCTTACCATTCCCAAGCGTGCCCTCGTGACCTCTGGGGGTTCTTTTGAGATAATTCCTCTCTGCGCAGCTCCACAGGACCTGTGATGACCCAGGATGGGATACAAAATAGTCACAAAAACAGGTGAAGCCCCTTTTATTCCTTCACTTTGCTTCAAAGCTCCAAATATCCTTGACTGGAGACAAAAAAAACGCCCCCACAAGCAGTTCCGAAAAGGAGGAAATGCCATTTAAACTAAAAATGCCTATAAATTATAAAGAGTAGGAACAACACCAACCACACGGAAGCAATTAAGGGAACCAGGCAAGATAAGGGCTTGAAGAAATCCACAGATATCAGAACACACACTGGGAAGGATACCAAGCTCAGAGAGGAACGACAGACTAGAGATATTTCCACGCTTTGCTTCCAGCACTGGCCCATACGCATGTCCGTCCTTTTAACCAGTCCTCACAGCTGCAGCCCGTGAAGAGGATCAAGGCCCTTTCCTCCCCTGTAGACCACGCCATTCACATCTCTCCCTTATCCTCTCCTCCCTGCGTGCCCTAGGATGGAGAGGGGATGGGCCTGGGTCTTCCTCTGACTGCCCAGCCTCCTCCACAACCTCCGGAGCCACACTTCCACTCCCTGTCAGTCATTCCTCCTCTCCCTCAGAGTCAGTCTCCAACAGGGGCATGACAGTACCAATATGCTTGAAACAGAGATACATTTGTCTGTGTTGCCTGGTTAAAATCATGTTATGGTATGCAGCTACCTCCATGAAATGTGAATGGTGTATTTATGGGAGCTTTCTAGTCATTGCCCATTATTCTCCATGCAGAATAGAAATAAAGGATTGTGTGTAGGATAATCTACCATAGAGATGAGCAGATCTGGCAATTTGGTTATTCAGACATTTAATTTAATGGCTGGAACAGGAAAGTGGATAATGGGCCAGAATATACAGTCGTAGTTGATTGGTTGGAGAGTGCAGACTCCTGCATGAGGCAATCTAAGTTATGATTGGACGCTGGGTGTAAAGGGGGAGTTTCCCCTTTTTCCCGCCTTTTTCTTCTTCTTCTGTGTGTTCTCTCTAGGCTGTTCTGTGATTTACCTCATGATTTACCTCATGATGTAGTGATGTGCCTGACTAACTTATCTAATGTAAATAGAGATGTTAAATATACTTATTTCTATAAAAATAAAAGTTTGTGCCAGTGTCCCTGACTTCATTTGGGCACCTGCCGTGCAATTCCCTGACAAATTTTCACGTAGTCCTACTGAGCGGAAGTGCCTCTTCCATGGTGCCACTAAGACAGTCTGCCTCAAGAGATGCTGGGGGTGTTTCAAAGGAATCTAGAGGGCCCTTTCTCAGGGTGAACAATACTGTGCACTGGGCAGAGAGGCAGGACTAGGTGGCCTCCAAGGCCCCAGCCAATACTTACATTCTGTGATTTTATTGTCAAATCCCCACCCTTGGAGGATCAGAAAGCATCTCTTGTGAATCCTTGTTCTGCCAGAGTTGCACAAAGATGTGTAGCGAGATTCCAGTCCAATAAAACATTAGGAGGGCAAAGTGACCGGAGTCCTTACTTTCTTGATCTGGAGCTCAGACCGTTGAGACTGGCTAGTGTGGAGAATTCACCCAGCCCCGTGTCCTCTTGCCCAACCGGGCATCCCATCCAACTCTGATCCCCTGGCTGCTGCAAGAAAGGCCAAAAGCGAAGGCCGGCGTCTTTAGGATCAGAGGCAGAAGAAAGGAGCCACCTGGGGAAAGAGACGCCTCTCTCTGGCAGGACATTCAGCACCTTCCCAGGTTCTTCCAATAGGCCAGTCATGAGGCTGGTTGCCATCTGCTTTGCCAATGGCGAGGTGACGCTAGAAAGTGGGGACCCTCATGGGGCTACCCGAGGGGGCATGGACCCACTTTCTAAACGAGGTTGAAGGGAGCCTGTTCAGCAGAGGCCAACGTGAGTCTGGCAGTTGGGCTGGCTTAATGGGGGCCAGGGATGCGGGTGTGGGAATGTAAGGTCCTCAGAAGAGGCCTTGATGCCAGCGGGAAGGAAAGGGTGCCGCTTCTGGACTGGACTGAGCTCAGCGGCTCTTCCTGCGGATCTTCTGGCCTGACCCTTGGATAAGAGACCCGGCTTGACGCACAGAGCCACCTGCGGACGAGGGCGCCCGCTGGGACGGATGGCCCCCCGGCCACGAGATGGCCTCGGGCTTGGTGGAACCCGGGCGAGGAGGGCGAGCTTCCCCCGCTGGGGGCACCGGCATTCCCGGCAGATGCGGCTGATCCAAAAGTCCCGCCCCGCCAAAAGCCGGGCCTCAGGCGCGGGGAAGGGTCCTCCTCCCCGACCGATTCCTGGGCGTTGGGAGGCGCCAGAGGGAAGCTAAAAATAAACCTCGGCTCAGGCGCGCCGCCGCGGTTGCCAGGACGGGCTTCCTGCGCGGGGCCCGGTCGGGAGAGCGCCGGTCCGCAGGCTGCTCGGCTGCCACCCGCCCCGCCCCGCCCGGGACCGCCGTCCCCTCCTGCCGGGAGCGAGGCGGGCAGCGGCGGCGGCGGCGGCGGCGGCGGCGTCGGCGCTTCTTCTCCGCCGGGCTGGCCGGCGGGGCGCGCGCAGCCTCCGAGCGCCGCGGCGCTGCCGCAGTTGGCCGCTGTCCGCGGTGCTGAAGGCTGGTCGGAGCGCGGCGGCGGTGGCGGCGGCGCTGTCCGCGGTGCTGGCCGTCCAACCTGCCGCCCAGGTGACCGCGGAGGTGGGGGCGCCCGGGCCGCGCTGAGCCAGGCAGCGGCGGGCATGCGAGAGGCGGGCCGGCGGCGCGAGGGGCTCCAGCCTGGGCTGGGGCTCCGCTGAGGCGAACGACGTTGCGGCTGCTGCGGCTGTGAGCTCCCCCGTGCCCACACTATGCAGAAGGCGCTGCGCCTGAACGACGGGCACGCCGTCTACCTGGGGCTGCTGGCCAAGAAGGACGGGGCCCGGCGGGGCTACCTCAGCAAGAGGAGCTCCGACAACACCAAATGGCACCCCAAGTGGTTCGCCCTCCTCCAGAACATGCTTTTCTACTTCGAGAATGACTCCAGTTCCCGGCCAGCTGGCCTCTACCTGTTGGAAGGCTGCCTGTGCGACAGAGCACCTTCGCCCAAGCCCAAGGATGCACTGGAGAAACAGGTGGGATGGGGGCATGTTGGGGGGGAGGGAGGGAGGGGGGAGGGGGAGGTTGGGGGACTCTGAGCCCTCCCGGCCTCTTTGGGGGTCCTCCTCTGCACAGGGGGGATCCTGTTGGGGAGTCTCTCAGCAGCTGCCAGGTGCCTTCCCCCCCCCCCGCTATGCACCTAATAAGCAGCATCAGAAGCTGGTCCTCTCCCCTTCAGCACCCCAGGCTCAAAGGGCGGGAGCTTCCCCCTCCCCGTCTTGGAGACATCCACCCAGAAAATAAGTTAAATGAAGCTGCAGGTTTCTTTATAAAATTAAGTATGGAAACCCATCCGATTAATTAGTCAGCCTACTAAAATGCAATGCTCCAAGTGGAGGGTATTGTAGGAGGAGAGCTCTGTTAGCCTTTGTGGAATAAAAAATAATGATAGGAAGAGTCTAGTAACATCTTTTCAGATGAAGAGGGTCAATAAAAGCTTATGCTTTTTAATAAAGTCGATTAACTGGAAAAAGTGCTACCAGACTCCTCTTGATTTTCTCAGGGGAGGAAAGGGGGAAGTTGTGCTCATCCGTAGCCATTCACACTCATCTTCCTTCAAATCTGCCTCCCCCAGCCCCCCCTCCCTCCCTCGAGCAGTTCCCCATTGACTTCACTCTCTCTTGGGGAGGGCTGGAGGCCAGCCCAGGCCAGCCCGCAAGGCTGAAGGGGCCAAAAGCTGACAAGCAGCCCAGCCTCGGTGGGTTTCCTAATCTCCTGGGCCCAGAGCCAGTCAGGCTCAGCCCAGTCGCTCAGGAGCTCCAAACTGTCCCCTCGGCTGCTCTGCACAGTGAGAGAAACCTCCGCTCTGTACAAGAAATGCCCTCCCAGACTCTGTTCCCAGCCCTGCGAAGCTCCTTGAAGAAGAACTGACCTTATCCAGGGGGTGAGACAGTTGACATTCCAGACTGCCCAAGTCAGGTAAATCTAGTTCTTAACATGATCAGGGAAAGAACCACATCAGCACCTTCCGGAGTCAGGTGAAGGGTGGGTCACTGGATCCGCTGCTCACACAGCTCGCCCCGACAGGAACACCAGGGCATCCGAGCGTTCCCTTGCTGCATGTCCTCCTTGCTGATATTTTAGAAACAAGAGCTGGGGGGGAGAAGGACCTGACCTGGGCCAATTTCCAGCACCTCCCCCTTCTAGCCCAAGGGGCCAGCTGCCAGACCCCAGGGCAGGAGAGGTCTAGTTCAGGCCAGGCCAGTGAGGTTCTGAGGAAGGCTCCCTGCTTTCTTGGCACCTTCTTCCTCAGGGGGTGCTTTGAGTAAACCAACTCAACTGTGAGGTCCTCGATCATCATATGATACAGATGGTCACAATGGTCAACCTGGTACTTGGGGTCTCTATGGACACAATAGGCTTCCACATCTTGGTTATTCAAAGCATGTTCCTTGTCTCAGTTCAGCAGCAAAACAACTGCATTAAATTACAACTAAAGGCCTCCCTGCAACCGATTCACTATTGCAGAATCTTACTCCCATCAGCCTTATTTCTGCTCCATGTATATGCAGGTGTTCTGGGAACCATTTCTGAGTTGTCATGATAGGGCATCACCTCAACTCTGCTTAAGTGTAAGTCATGAGTAGGAAAGCATTGCTACCTTTTAAGCAGTTTCCAAAGCCAGATGGTCTCCAGCCAAGAATGGGGACTCCAACACTGGAGATGTTTAAGAAAAGATTGTCTAAAATGGTCTGGGGTCTCCTGCTGGAGAGGTGGGTTGAAAACCTCTGGGGTCCCTTCCAACTCTGCTATTCTGTGAAAAACCAAAAAAAACCTGCTGCCATCAGAATAGGCAGGAAGGTCTCATCAGCCTCTGGCCGTCCATTTTCTTGCCGCAGAGGCAAACCAGATGCCGAGAGAAACACTCCAGGTGACTTCTAATTCCCCGAAAATGCATTACCACTTTGTCCTACCTCTTATTCTTTAAGAAGCCTCCCCCCCCACCGCACTTTGGCCCTCCTGGGATGGGTACCCCACCCATAGATGCATCCCTGCCTTTGTCTGCATGTGCCTGCCAATCTACTAGGCAGCAGCCCCGGGGGGGGGAGGGGGGCCTGGGACGAAGCTCAGTTCAATTCCGGAACCCCCTGAGCTGTCTAGTCGTGCCCTGAGAAGAAGGCTGGGAAACTTGAGATGGCCTCATTGCTTGTCCCGTCTGCAAAAGATGAGGGTCACAGGAGGCACTCCTGGAGTCGGGGCTTTGTTTTCCACTGCCCATTCCAGATTCAGGAACACATTCACATGTCACACATGTTGCCTCCCAAGAGCCAACAGCCAAATGGGGTTTCTGCAGCACCACCAATTCCATCATTTCACTTCCGCCCCAGTTTGAAAGCAAAACCTCCAAACAGCAAAAAAGGGGGGCTTTGCTTTCTCTTGGTCTGAAGAATTGCAGGCTTTCAAAGAATCAGGCAAGCCACCGGCTGCTCAGAGCCTGGATCCTGCCTGGAGCCTCCTTCCATCCCTTCCACCTTCCAGTGGCTTCGAGGTGATTGTGACTAACGTCCCCTTGGGATTTGCCTTAACGCCCAGACTCTGGAACAGGAGCGCTGGCCAATGTGGCCTCCTCAGGCGCTCCTGGCCTTTCTCCCCATGGCTGGGTGGTCCTTGTGGCTCTACTTAGTTTCCAGCTTCATCCACTCTACTTTGCTGCCCTCCCCTGTCTCTGCCTGCTGGCCATTTGCCCCTCTCCTCCTCGGAGGGCCCCCCTCTGGAATTCATACAATCAAGCGGGGGCGGGGCGGGGGGGGGAGTTTCACCTGTCTATAGTGGCCTTTTCAGTTGCTGAAGGTTGGAAATTATATTTGTGTTGATGCAGATTAACATTTTCTTTCTGCCAGCCATGTCACTGTGATCAATGCAATTACATCTTCTTAATGTGAACAATATTTGTCTACCCTGTTCTTGCCCCGTTGGTCTCCGTTTTCATCCATCAATCTATTTGCAAAATTCCCAGTAGACGTTCTACAGGCAGCGACCATTTGAAGTTAAAACGGCAATGAAGAGAATGACCATTTTCGACATTGATGACTCTTGCAGCATCCCATGATCGTGCGATCAAACTTTGGATGCTTGGCAAATGGCATGTATTTATGACACTGGGAGGATCCCAGGGGGTCAGTAGTCACCTCTTGCAACCTTCTGACAAGCGAAGTCAATGAGGAAGCCAGGTTCCTTTAACAATGTTTTCTAACTTAACTGCGATTCACTTAACAACTGTGGCAAGAAAAGTCATAAAATGAGGCAAAGTTCATTTAGCAACTATCTTGCTTAGAAACAAATTTTGGGGTCAGTTGTGTTCATAAGTCAACGACTAGCTGTATTTAGTCCATATTTAATATATTAGGTCTGTACTTTTATAAATATGAGATAAGGTTGATCAGGCTACACTCAATAATTCCATGTATGTTCAATAGATCAATTGTTTTAGCAGATATTGATGAATTTCTTTCTCCTTTTTTGAAAGGTTGGGGTTAGAATTAGGGTCTTTGTCATCACATTTACCAGAATTTTCATAGACCACCAGCCCAGTGAGGAGGTGTTTCCTTCAGTGCTCTAAAGTGCAACTCAGCAGCCCTGGAATTTTAAAGCATTTTTAAAGCATTTCCGGATTAGATTTCTATCAGGCTGAATTGGCAGCCCTGTTTCTTCAACCTAGACATGCCACCCTCTCCTCACACAACAGGCTCACGAAAGGGCCCAAATGTTCTGCCTTTTCTTTGCTCTCTGTTAGCATGGTCTGGACCGTT